CTAGGGCCCGGCGGCGTGGCCTAGCGGCTAAAGTCCTCGCCTTGAACGCACCGGGATCCCATATGGGTGCTGGTTCTAATCCTGGCAGCTCCACTTCCCAGCCAGCTCCCTGCTTTGTGGCCTGGGAAAGCAGTCAAGGATGGCCCAAAGCCTTAGGACCCTGCACCCGCATGGGAGACCTGGAAGAAGTTCCTGGTTCCTGGCTTTGGATTGGCATAGCATTGGCCATTGTGGCCATTTGGGGAGTGAATCATCAGGGGGAAGATCTTCCTCTCTGTATATCTGACTTTCCAATAAATAAATAAATCTTTAAAAAAAAAAAAAAGCACCCAGATCTAGTATGTGCAGTATAATTTAGTATTGGGATTAGCAGGAAGCAGAGCAAGCAATCATTTGTTGCATTACACTTTTTTTTTTTTTGAAGATTTATTTGAATGTTTCATAGAGAAAGAGAAAAGAAATATCTCCTATCCTCTGGTTCACTCTCTGGGCCTGGGCTAGGCCAAAGCCAGGAGCCAGAACTCTATCTGGGTTTTCCATGTGGGTGTTAGAGACCTAAGGACTTAGGTCATCTGCTTTCACAGGCTCATTAGCAGAGAGCTGAGTCAGAAGTAGAGCAGCCCGGACTCAAAATGGCACAGTACGAACCCCAATTTGTTGCATTTTTGGATGACTGAGCTGAGTTGTGGAGAAGAGAAAAGGAAACCAACAGGATCCCATATGGCTGCTAGTTCTAATCCTGGCAGCTCCACTTCCCAGCCAGCTCCCTGCTTGTAGCCTAGGAAAGCAGTCAAGGATGGCCCAATCCTTGAGACCCTGCACCTGTGTGGGAGACCCAGAAGAGGCTCCTGGCTCCTGGCTTCAGATTAGCTCAGCTCCAGGCATCGCAGCCACTTGGAGAGTGAATCATTGGATGGAAGATCTTCTTCTCTGTCTCTCCTCCTCTCTGTATATCTGACTTTCCAATAAAGAAAAATATATTTTAAAAACAAAAAAAGAAAGAAAAGGGAACCATGTGACAGTAAATCCTGCCATGTCCAAGGCTTACATATTTGTACTTCCTCCTTTAATCTTACCGTAGTCATCAAGACAAGGCAGTGAAAATATTGGAGTTGATAATGGTAGGATTTGGATGTGTTGGCTAGTATTTGTTATCCGATACTGAGTTAGATGTCAGAAATATATTTATGAAGGTATGTAGCCAACTTTGTACAGAATAGAATTAAATTGTAAGTTTATTTCAGCACAAATATTTTGGAAGTTTGAAACCTAATTTCCACCCAATATGCCAGTGCCCAATATAGGCACTGGTACCAGTCCTGGCAGTTCCATTTTTTAATTTAAATTTTGTTTTTAATATTGTTTGCATATTTGACAGGGATGCACACCCATGTGGGTATCTGATTAGGGTGGAGGGACCAGGTATGGAGGAAGGTGGGTGGGACAAATGTTTCAGGTTTTTGTTTTTTGTGGGTTTTTTTTTCCTTTCCACTTCTGTGTCTGCATGGGAGGAAGGGAAGGAGGCTGCTCCTTACTGTCAAACTACATCAACACCCAGAGATGGGGGAAGTCATTTGGTGACACCATTGAGACCTCAATGTGAGGAAGAGTGTTCTAAGGTTATTACTTGAGGGGTGTTGATAGTTCTGATCCAGGATTTAGGAAATCTGTCCATGGTCTTTTGGTTGATAGAGACCACCTTAGTGCATTCACAGACCCAGGAACATGCTATAAAGCTTGGCCAGGAGAATTTTCCAACCTGTTCTATCCAACCTGTTCTCTCCATCCTCTGACAAGGCAGTCGACATCCTTTGCTGGCCTAGAGGTCGTCATGTCCCCTGTGTGTTTCTGTATATGCTGTCCATTGCATAGGCATTGGCAACTGAGGAGGTTCAGTCCTGATACTTGCACTCCAAGGTCAGACCACACATCCTGATTTTCCCTGTGTCCAAGGTCTGAGTACAGTGGTCTAATGGGGGAGCCCCCAAGAAACCTCGCATGAGATGACCTCAGACTTGACTTGTATGCACCAACCAGTGCAGAGTCAGGCTCAGTCTGTCACCTGCAACAGCCAGCACACATACTGGTAGATGCAACTGCCTGATCAGTTCCACCCAGTCCCATATCTCACGTGAACGAACAGGTGCTGCAGCCCAGGCAACCAGGCTTCTACAGACCTGATCCTCATGCACACCAGCGGGTACTGTGTCTTAGTTGGGATGACCCTCAATAATCCCCTTCAGACTTTCAGCCCAGCCTGCTTTACATCTAGCTCTTGTACACTGTGGGTACTGTGGCTTAGCTTAGTCTGAGTCAACCCTCAGGTATGCCAACAGGTGCCACTGCCTTGTCTAGACTGATTATTTTTTTATTTTAATGTATACTTATTGTTTTATTTTATTTTATTTTATTTTACTTTTATTGTAAAGTTAGATATATACAGAGGAGGAGAGACAGAAAGGAAGATCTTCTGTCTGGTGATTCACTCCCCAAGTGACTGCACTGGCTGGTGCTGAGCTGATCTGAAGCCAGGAACCAGGAACTTCCTCCAGGTCTCCCATGCAGGGTCAGGGTCTCAAGGCTTTGGACCATTCTCGACTGCTTTCCCAGGCCACAAGCAGGGAGCTGGATGGGAAGTGGAGCTGCTAGGACTAGAACTGGCGCCCAGGTGGGATCCCGGCGCGTTCAAGGTGAGAACTTTAGCCACTAGGCCATCGTACCGGACCCCAGACTGATTCTTGTGCTCACCAGGAATAGGTGGCCACAGTTCTGCTAAGCTTGCTGCCAGGACTGGATCTTCTGTGTTTGCTCCACTTCTGATTCAACTCCCTGCTGATAGGCCGGGAAAACAGCAGAAGTGATCCAAGTCCTTGGGTCTCAGGAAATCGATGCATACCAGGGACCCTCAAAAAGTTCCTGGAAAATGAATGTTATTAAAAAAGGAAGGAAGGAAGGAAGGAAGGAAGAAAGAGGGAGGGAGGGAAAGAAAGAAAGAAAAAGAAAGAAAGAAACAAGGAAAGAAGAGAGAAAGAAAGAAAGAAACGAACGAACGTGCAGGGGCTAGTGTTGAGGTGTAGTAGATTACCTTGTCATCTACAATTCTAGTATCCATATGAATGCCAGTCCTAGCTTTTCCACTTGCAAGCAAGCTCCCTGCCAAAGCACTTGAGAAAGTAGTGGAAAATATCCCAAGTATCTAGGCCCTTGCCACTCACGTGGGAGACCTAAATGGAATTTCTGGTCCCTGGGTTCAACCTTACTCAATCTTGGCCATTGTGGCCTCTTGGGGGGTTAAACCAGCAGGTGGAATATCTCTCTTCTTCTCCCTTACTATCTCTTCCTTTCTCTTTCTAACTCTGCCTTTCCAAAGAATATATTTATATAAAAAGATGAAAGTTATAGATGGACATTAATATTTTAATTGCATTTCTCAACAGACTTTTTAAAAACACTTAATTTAGTTGGGAAACAGAAACAGCAACACCACCAGGTCATTTATCTGCTGGCTTATTCCGAGATGCCCTTAACAGCCCAGCCTGGGTCAGCTGAAAGTCAGAAGTCTAAAGCTCCCTTGGTTCTGCCATGTGGGTGCCTTGAGCACCTGCCTGCTCTCTCCTGGGGTGCACTTTAACAGGAAGCTTGAGTCAGAAGCGGAGCTAGGACTGGAACCCCAGTACTCTAGTATGAGACGCAGGTGTCCAGAGGCCTGACTTCTCCATCTTACATCCAGCTTCCTACTGATGTGTCTGGAAGACAGCAGAGGAATGTGCAAGAATTTGGATCCCTTGTCACCCATATGGGAGACCAGGATGGCGTTGCTGACGCTTGACTTAGGTCTGGCCCAGGTTTAGCTGTTGGAGCCATTTGGGGAATTAGCCAACAGAAACATGTCTGTCTCTGTCACTCTTTTATTTTTTTTTAATTTTTTTTCAGATTTTTCTTATTTTTTGTTTGTTTTATTTTTAATTGGAAAGGCAGATATACAGAGAGAGAAATAGATACAGAGAGAAAGATCTTCCATCCACTAATTCACTCCCCAAGTGAGTATAGTGGCTGGAGCTGAGCGAATCCAAAGCTAGGAGCCAGACCTTGGGTGCTTTCCCAGGTCACTAGCAGAGAATTGGATAGGAAGTGGAGTAGCTGGGTGGGAGAAGAACCAGTGTCCATATGGGATCCCGGCAAATGCAAGGCAAGGATTTAACCACAAGACTATCATTACAGACGTGACAGTAAGTTTGTACCCTTTTATTTTTATTTATTTATTTATTTTGTCCTCTTCAAGCACTCAGAATAGAAAATGAGGGGCAGGTGTTGGTCTAATAGTCACGACACCTATTAGGATGCCCACAAACCACATTTGCAGTAAATGGATTTGGTGCAGGCTATAGTTCCTCGTTTCAGCTTCTTGGTAATGTGGACTCTGTGGGCTCTGGTGATGGCCATGCAGTTGAGTTCGCACCACCCATGTGGGAGACCAGGATTATCTCCTGACTTCAGTCCCTGCTCTTGGCTGTTGCAGGCATTTGGGTGTCTGTGTGAGGTGAACCAGCAGATGGGAAATCATTCTGACATTCTTTCTCTACCTCTTAAATAAATAAATTACTTAATTCAAAGAATTTGCAAAATGACCTCAAAGCATCTCTACAGAGGTGCTCAGATCATCAGTCAGTTGGGCCACTTAGTACAGTGAGCTTTGTGAACAGGGGAGCTCGTTCACTAGCTCCAGTGCTAGTGGAAAGAGATCAGTAACAGTTTGGGGTAGCCACCAGTTTCTAGTTAGTTTCCATTTTAGATGTAATTTTCTCATTAAGAGGGAGGGGGAAGATTTGATGGTCTTTAGCACCTTGGAATAGCAGCTATAAGTCTCTTGTGTGACTGAAGTCTTCATGATGGTACCCTTTAGTTGCAAGTCAAGAACTGCAGGGCAAGTGGACATCTCACTATTCTTGGATATTGCTTCTGTGCTGACCAGTGCTGGTGTGACTGTCCTGCCTCCTCAGGAGCTCTTGTCGCTGGCGAAGCGGAAGCGCAGTGATTCTGAGGAGAAGGAGCCACCTGTGACTCAGCCTGCAGCCTCGTCTGACTCCGAGACGTCTGACAGCGATGATGAGGTGCGTGTGCAGGGGCGAGGCTGGGGGACCCAGCATGTCTGAAGACTCCTGAAATGGTGATACCCAGTGACTTTTTTCCTTACATTGAGACTTACAGATTAAGATGTATCAGCATTTTTTTATATATAGAAAAGTCAGATTGTCATATTCATTTTACTTCTGGTATCAAGTGAGTGCCTCTATGCGATGTCCTGGCCATTCTTTATTTAGCCTGCTTGCTAAAGAAAGGGTGCTACTTATTAGTTTTGTTTTTTGCCTTAAACAAGTATTAATTTATTAATCTAATTTTTTAAAAGATTTATTTATTTTTATTGGAAAGAGAGAGGAGGACAGACAGAGAGGAATATCATCTGTCTGCTGATTCACTCCCCAAGTGGCTGTAATGGCCGGTGCTGAGCTGATCCAAAGCCAGGAGCCAGGAGCCTACTCCAGATCTCCCAAGCGGATGCAGAGTCCCAAGGCTCTGGGCCATCTTCGACTACGTTCCCAGGGCACAAGCAGGGAGCTGAATGGGAAGCTGGGCTGCCGAGATTAGAACCAGTGCCTATATGGGATCTCCCAGAGTGTTCAAGGCAAGGACGTTAATCACTAGACAACCATGCCAGACTCAAAAAGATTGTTTTAAAGGAATCTTTTAAAAATTTTATTTTTGATGATGTATATATAGCTGCTTAGGGTGGGAAGGGTCAAGGATTAGGGGAGACTGGATGAGACCATTGTTTCCAAATGTTCTGTTTCTTCTTATATCCAGGAGAAGGGGGCAAAAAGGCGAAGAAGCCATACCCAACCACGCAGCCCTCAGTACCCAAGAATGGATAACAGCCACTTTTTTGTGATCCTGGGGTTCAGATGTGGAGCATCCTCTGAGGGTTCTACTCAAGTAGTTTTGATAGTTCTGAAATGCTGTCACTATCACTGATGCAAAAATAAGGATATCTTCCAAGGTCCATTGACTGGCATGGTTCACATTAGGGTCTGACTAATCTTGACATTTACCAATGGGTGCTGTAGCTAGGGTCAGCCCAGTCTGCCCCCAGTTCCACCTCATGCTGCTAAGTGCTACAGCTTAGCTCAGCCCAGCAAGCCCCTGTCTCAGCTCTAACGTGAACTGGCTGATGTTGCTGCCTAACTTGGCCTGCCCTGCACCCAGTCCTGTTTCTTGGATCTGTCAGCAGATATTATGAACTGGCCCAGCGTGGCCCACCCCAGACCTGATCCACACATATGCCAGCCCTTTGGCCAGCAGGTACCATAACCTGGCCTGGTCTGGGCTGCTCCTTGCCTTGGTTCTTGTGCTCACCTGCAGGGACTGCATCGTGACAGAGTTCCCTAAGCTCCTCTATCAGGTCACCTCCCACTGGCACACCAGTGAGTCTTTGGCCTAGTCTGACTTAGTCCACTTCCTGTCCTGGCAGGAACAGTGGTCTTGCCCAACTGGCCCACACCCCATCTAGTTCTCATTGTTGGGTACTACAGCCCAGCCATACCTGGTCCATGCCCAAACCCAGTTCTTGCATGGTTCAGCAGGTTCCAAGACCTAGCCCAGCCCATCCTGCACTCTCCCTGGCTCTCACAAGCACCAGCAGGTGCTGGAATCTAACTCAATCTGGCACACCCCAGGCCTAGTCCATACCCATGCTGAGGGACACTGCAGTCAGGTCCAGCCCAGATTGCTGCCACCATTCCAGCTCTTGTGCTCAACAGTGGGAACCACAACCCAGCCAGGACATCCCTTTAGCTCCTCAGCCAGGCCTGTTCCCAACCACAGATCTTGGCACATGCAAGAGGTTGCTCTGCCCCAGCTAGGCGTAGCCCATCCCTTGTCTTGACGTTTGTCATTGGATGCTGCAGCCTGGCTTGGCCTCTCCTGCCCTGAGTGCCAACTCTCACTGGTGGGTGCTGCAGCCTACCCCTGCCCATTCAGCTCCCATCCCTGGCTCATGCAAATGGTAGGTGTGATAGCCTAGTCTGCCATGACCCACACTCCAACCTGGCTCCTACACATTCCAGTGAGCTAAGTTTGGCCTGGCCCTGTCTGTTTTTGGCCCTCTTCCAAAACCATTCCACACACATGCTGGCAGGTGAAGCTGCCCTGCCCAGCCTGACCAACAGCTAGGCCTGAATCACATGCTCCCCAGGGGTAGCTATGGTCCACCAGGGGAGTTTCCCAAGTTCCCCCACCAGGCCCACTCCCAGACCCAGGTCTCACATGTGCTCACAGGTGCTAGCTAGGCTCTTACTAGGCATATTCTGTCCCCTCTATCCCAACCCATTCATGAGCTGCTGGATGTTGTGGCCCAGCCCACCCTACACCCTGTTCTTTGGTGTGCCTGTGGCTGCTACAGCCTGGACCAGTCTGGCCTGCTCCCAGCCCCAGTGTCCATGAGTGTCAGAGAGTTCCATGGTCATGCCTAGCTCAGCCAGTCACCACTCCCAGCGAACTCTTTTTTTACATTCTGACTGACTGTAGTAACTTTCTGCTATTATTAATAATTCAGCAGACTCAAATTTGCTTTCCACAGCAAGAGGTAGTGAATTGTTTCTTTTTTTTTAAAATTTATTTTTACAGAAGTTTTCATTTCTTTCAAGCTGATAAGATAACCCGATGTGTTAGGAAATGAATTGAACCTATGAAGTATTTGACTGTTTTTGTGTTTTAAATGCGTATACCATACAGGAAACTGGGGATATTTTCCCTTCTTTTTGTTCTTACAAATATAGACAAAAGGGCACTAGAGAAAAAGCGATCCCATCCATTAGGTCACTGCCTCAAAATAGGCCTGCAAAGGGATGTAGAGAGGCTGCTAGGAGTGGGAAGTCCCCCAAGGGTGGCCAAAGCCCACCACTGTCATTTTTAGATTTCGTTTTTCATATCAAGGTGCTGTGAGTTCCCCTTCTCATTCACACTGGAATGTGCCATGGTGTATTTTTGGTCTTTGTGGTTCCCTGAAGACACAAGCAGTAGCTGTCCTTGGAACTCCAGCATTCTCTGCATTCCTATTGTTAGGTCAGAGTCCTTGGTAAGGCAGTCCTTACCTCTTCTGAGCTGCTTCTCCCAGGAGGGTGGTATGTGCCTACCCCACAGCCTTAGAGGACCCCAAAACTTGGGCTGAAGCAGATCCAGTATCCTCAATACTGGATTCCTTTTTTGCTTACAGCTGCCTAACCAAGTAAGGAAAGTGCTCACCTTAGAATGCTGTCCAACTGTTTTTGCACTAATTGGCGAAGAAGCTGACAGCCCAGCTGTGCCCTGCCCGGCAATAGATGAGCCCCTGAGTGTCTTTTCCCCTGCTGAGTCCTTAGCTCATGGGCAGCCCCCAGGTGCCAGGCCTCCTGGAATAGCAGTCTTCACAGTGCTGCCATCCTAATGGATTCTGGTCCTTTGGTTTGTACAATTTCTTTGGCCTGGGCTGCTACTATAGCATAGAACACCTCAAAGTTAGAGCAAGATTACTTTTTTTGCCAATTAAGAAATAACTATTAAAAACTTTTTTTAAAAAACTAATATTTTAAGCAGAAGAGAACAAGAAAATAAAATCTACCATCCACTGGCCCACTCCCTAAACATGCCAACCAGGAGTCAGGAACTCCGTCAAGTCTCCCCTGTGACTGGGAGGACCCCAGTGCTTGAGCACCTGCTCTCTTCCCTGGTGCTAGTTAGTTGGAACAAGGCTGAGATTTGTACTTAGGCACTCTGATGGGAGACACAAGTGGCATCCTAAGGTACTAAGCCAGAAGTACTCCCCTGGCAACTTTTTCCAATCTGGCCAGCCACTGGAGAACTCAGTGTCATCACTATGAATTCAGGATATCGCTCTGATAGGTGTTTTAACTAGGATCAGGAACTCAGAGATTAGCTTTCTCTTTCAGAATATTCATATGCCTGCCTTGAAAGGAAAGCTATGTGTTTTGCAGTAGTTTCTTATGTCTTCTTATATCTGCTTTGGCTGATATCTCTTTGTTACCGACAATCACCTTTTAGAAATTACAATTGTTGAAATATTGATGTACCAGGAGCTATTCCCAATATTGAAATCTTTTCATGTGTCTCTCCATCATTATTTGCAGTTGGGTTCTTTTCTCTCTCTCTCTCTCTCTCTCTCTCTCTCTCTCTTTCTCTCTCTCTTTCTCTCTTTTTTAAGTTTAACAGAAGGAGATCTTTCATCTCTTTGTTCATTCTCCAGACAGTTGCAATGACCAGAGACGGGCCAGGTTGAAGCCAGGAGCTTGAACTAGAAATAGAGCAACCAGGACTCAAATCAGCACATATATGAGGTGCTGGCAATACAGACAGTAGTTTTACCCACAGTGTCATAATACCAGCCCAAGTAGGTTTTTTTCTTTTCTTTTTTTTTTTTTTTAATTTATTTTTCTTGGAAAGTCAGATATACAGAGAGGAGAGACAGAGAAGATCTTTCCTCCACTGATTCACTCGCTAAGTGTCTGCAACGGCCAGACTGAGCCAATCAGAATCCAGAAGCACAGAGCTTCTCCTGGGTCTCCCACTTGGGTGTGGGGTCCCAAAGCTTTGAGTCATCCTTGACTGCTTTCCCAGGCCACAAGCAGGGAGTTGGATGGGAAGCGGGGCTGCTGGGATTAGAACCGGGGCCATATGGGATCTCAGTGCATGCAAGGCAGATTTTAGCAACCAGGCTACTGCACAGGTTCTCAATTTTTTTTTAAGTTTGATTTATTTTAATTGGAAAGTCAGATTTACAGAGAGAAGGAGAAGCAGACAGAAAGATCTTTCATCTCCTGGTTTACTCCCCAAATAGTCACTGGATTGGAAGCTCAGCAGCTAGGATTTGAGCAGTACTCTGAGGTGGAATACCAACATCACATTTGGTGGCTTACTTCCCTTGCCACAACAATACCTATGCTTTGGCTAGAGCAAAATGGTACCTGGCAAATCGATGCAGAAGGGAAATGGAGAGAAGTTGTGGAAATCTATCATTAGGAAAAAAGTTGGCACTTTGGGCATGAAGTTTAAAGGCCAATTA